TCACAGGGAAGGTGATACTTGTGGGAGGATGAGCAGCAGTTCACCAGGTGAGCAAGGTGGGGTAGACTGGTCCAGGCAGGGGAACAGGATACAACCTGTCTTGGAAGATAGCGAGGGTTCAAGCAGAGGCCAGTTGTGACCAGGAGTCGGAGTCTCATGCTCAGCCCTGCTGCTGATTCTCCGACCCTGGGTGAGCCATTAGCCTCTCTGAGGTTTTCCCCTCTCTACCGTGGAAATCATAGTAGCCTACCACACAGGTCCTGAGGCTCAGATGGAAATCACATCTGAACAATACCATCTAAAACTTGGTGGGGGCTGGGGTAGAGCCAGAGGTCAGGAGAAGAGTGCTGACTAACCCCGTGCTGCAGTGGAAATTTCCACTGACCTGCAGTCAGGGACACCTCACTGCTCCTGGCAGTTTTGCTTTCCTATTGGAATGTGCCTGAGGAGCGGCAGTTAACTCCATTCGCAGATTCCTCAGCCCTGAGCGTATGAACCTTATTGCTGCTGGCCGGGAGAAGACAGACTCGAGTAGGGTTGAGGGTGCGTGGCAGGATCAGCATGATCTGTCCCTTATCAAAAAAATCAGCTGCATTATGGCATCACTTTTTCAACCCTCCAGGACACTTTCCAAAGTTGCTGCTGATTTCTTCTCTTCTTTATACCGTTCACTTTCTTGCCTCTGGAATGTACCAGCGTGATATGTCCCACCTTCCACTCTGAAAAAATGTACTATATGTGTAATGTATTTAAAACCCAAGTGTTGTAGTTTATGGCTGAAACCTGAATGGGAACACAAGAAGCAGAGCATCTAGGCACACTTGCCCAAACTTTGAAACTGTGCTGGCTGTGGGAGAAAGGCCTCTGGACTGTTGTGGGTTGGTTTTTTTTTTTTTTTTTCCTGGTGACAGGCTTGATAAAAATGCCAAATGCCTTTTTAGTACAAGTACTGTGCTGGCTGTGGGAGAAAGGCCTCTGGACTGTTGTGGGTTGGTTTTTTTTTTTTTTTTCTCCTGGTGACAGGCTTGATAAAAATGCCAAATGCCTTTTTAGTACAAGCGCTTTTCAGTGAAAAGAAGATTTTACTACAGTGCTAAAGTCAGAAAACCAGATAAACATTGTTTAAAGTTCAGTGTTGAGTAGCTAAGCTTCAGAGGAATCACACATAGGTGGGCATGCTTCTTGTTTGGCAGGAAAATGGCTCACAGTCTTTTTCTTATGCAGGCCATGTCAACACAAGGTCAAAGCTAAACATTCCACACTGGTTTTGCTTATAACTGGGATCAGGACATTTAGAAACTGTCCTTACCACACTTGATAGCACTTCATGGTGCCTGATACATAGAAGGTGTGCAGTAAATGTTATTGTGAGTGGTCATAATTTATGCCCAGTTTATGAATGATTAGTTCTGGGCTTCCTAAGCCAATACAAGCCAGAAGTACCCTCTTATTCCTTATTAAGTACTAAACAGCCTGATTTCTAGCACAGGAAGGGTTGTCAATTTGGGGGATTCAAACTGGGAATCTAGTAGATGTTTGAGTGGTAAGTAACATTCAGTGAGTCTAAAGTGTAGAGCAGGATTTCTCAGTCTCTGCACAGCTGACATTTTGCATGATTCTTTATTGTGGGCGCTGTCCTGTGTGTTGTGAGATGCTTAGCAGCATCCTTGACCTCTACTTAGTAGATGCTAGTAGCACCTCCCTCCTGGTTGTGACAATCAGAAATGTTTCTAGATGTTGCCACATGCCTCCTGGGGGACAAAATCCCCCTGGTTTCGAACCGCTAGTGTAGAGGAAGCTATGGGGTGGCCCACCCTGGGCCTGTCCTGTAACAGTGCTTCTCACACTATGGATCCCTAGATTCCATTAAGGCAGGGGTTCTCAAATGAGGCTGAATATTGGGATCACCCAGGGAGCTTAAAAAAATTCTGATGCCCATGCTTCACCCCAAAGATTCTAAATGGTATGGACATCAGAAGATTTGGAAGCTCTTCAGGGGATTCTGGTTTTAGCCAAGATGCAAACTGCAGCATTACTAGGTCATGGAATCAATGAAGTAAAGTACTTCTTTGCCAGCATTTAAAAAATATATGAGGAGTCTTCAAAGTTTATGGAAAGATTTGTATTATCTTTTAATTCCATTTTCCACAAACTTTTTAAAAAATAATATTTTTATTGAAACATAATTGATTATACATATTTGTGGGGTGCAGAGTTGACTATCATATTTGTGTTCAGTATGTGATGATCAGATCAAGACAGTGGGCATATTCGTCATTACAAAATGTAAAATGTAGGTTTTATTCTGTTTTGTTTGCCACAAAACAAGTCTTAATACATTTAAAAAGACTGAGATCATAGAAAATATGTTCTCTGACCACAATAATAGAAGAAAATTTAGAAAATTCACAAATGTGTGGAAATTAAACAACACTCTCCTAAATGAACAATGGGTAAAAAGAAAATCACAGGGATGTAAGAGAGTATTTTGAGATAAAAATCAAAGAGAAACATATCAAAATTTGTAGGATGCAGGGCTCAGGCAGAGCTTAGATGAAAATTTATACTTGTAAACACCTATATTAAAACTAAGAAAAATCTCAATTCAGTAATGTAAATGTCTACCTTAAGAAAATAGAAAAAGAAGAGCCAACTAACCCAAAAGCAAATATAAGTAGGAAATAAGAAAGATTACAACAGAAATGTATGAAATAGGGAATTAAAAAAAAATAGAGAAAATAAACAAAACCAAAAATTGATTCTTTTAAAAGATCAATGAAATTTGCAAACCTTTGTCTAGGCTGACCAAGACAAAAAAGAAAGAAGACTGAAATTACTAAGATCAGAAATAAGGCGGGCATTATCATTCTTTTTCGTGGTGTAAGATTTAACTTCTTTCTCTTTCTCATTTGCATTTTTGTTCCACCAGTGGGTTTTGTTCTTTCTTGTTTTTTGTGGTAGTGATTATCACTTTTTGGATTCCAGATGCAGGACTTCCCTGAGGATTTCTTGTAGGGCTGGTCATGTGGTGGTGAACTCCCACAGTTTTTGTTTGTCTGGAAAATATGCTATTTTCCCCACATTTCTGAAAGAGAGCCTTGCTGTGTAGAGTATTCTTGGCTTGCAGTTTTTTTGTTTTTTTTTCTTTTAGTATTTTGAATATATCATCCCATTTTCTTCTGGCCTGTAGAGTTTCTCTTGAGAAGTCTGCTGTTAGTCTAATAGGGGCTGCCTTATAGGTGACTTGATGCTTTTCTCTTGTTTCTTTTAAGATCATTTGTCTTTGAGCTTTGCCACTTAGACTATAATGTGTCTTGGAGAGGATCTTTTTGGGTTGAATCTGTTTGGGGATCTTTGAGCCTCCTGGATCTGAAGGTGCATGTCTGTTCTTATACCTGGGAAGTTTAACATTATTGTTTTATTGAATAGGTTTTCCATGCCTTTTCCTTTCTCCTTTCCTGAAACACCCAGGATTCTAATGTTTGTGTGCTTAAGGTTGTCTGCTAGCTCTCTTAGATTTTATTCCTTTTTAAAAATTATTTTTTCCTATTTTTGGTCTACCTGGGTTATTTCAAAGAGACTGTCTTCAAGATCAGAAATTCTTCTGCTTGTTCTAGCCTGCTGCTTAAGCTCTTGGTTGTGTTTTTTTTTTTTTTTGCTGAGTGAATCTTTCAGTTCCATGAGTTCACTCCCATGTTATTGCATTTTTAGTTCACTCATTCTCTCAATGGCTATTTATTATGTATTTACCACACACAAGGCAT